ATTGTAGTATCAGGCTGCAACATAACAAAATTGAAAAAAGTGAAGGGGGTCTGAATACTTTCTGAATGCACTGCATATATTAAAACAATCATCAATACAGGCAGTCCTCTTTTAGAGACTGCCTTCTACAGTGACTGTTTGCAGTTACAACAGTGATGAAAAAGTAGCTTTACAACCAATGCTCATACTTACAACCTTGATAGGTCTGTAAAACAAAAGAAAGCTGAAGATCATAAGCGCAGTCAGTTTCACTTAGTGACTACTTCACTTAATGACTGAGTTTATAGTCTCAACTGTGGTAGCTAAATGAGCACTACTTATATTTTTTTTCTCAATCACTTATTACTTTCTCTACCACAATTTTCCCCTTTCAATTTATATTGCTACCCAATTGCCAAGTGACTCTGGATTTTAAACAGAGGATTTTAAAACTTCAAGATACAGATAATAATTTTTTAAAATGCCAGAGACAATTACAGTGAAAACTTGTGACATCTGGCCCTGTGCTGGGGAAGAACCAGGTCTTCAGGGCCTTTCTAAAGTCCAACAGGGTAGGGCCAATCCAAATTTTGAACACTTGCTAATCAAAGTGACTACACTTCTAGTAGAGTTTAGATTTTCACTTATGTATACTAGACCAACCAATCTCATTGATAAGGGATTCTTTTCTTGTGGCAGGAAAATGAGTTGAGTTTTTTTCTTTTCTTCCTCAAAAAAGGAAAAAAGAGCCCAATTTGGTAATTTGGTAAAATTGCCTCCTATGTTCTTCAAAATTAACAGAGATGTCATACTGGGCTAAAATGAAGAAAAAACTGTGTATATGTATGTATGTGTGTGTGTGTGTGTGTGTGTGTATATATATATATATATGTGTGTGTGTGTGTGTGTGTGTGTGTGTGTACACACACACACACAAATATAGGCATGTGCTAGCATAAATATTACATAGGTCAAGAAAAAGAAATGATTTTTTACATTCATAAAAAAGCTAAAATAAAAGAAAAATATGAAAAAAGAATACAGATAAGGATATAAATGGGTATCAGTTACAGTTATGACAGTCAAAAGACTAAAATAAAGTCAAAGAAAAAATAAAATAAAATGAAACCCTATTTACATTAAATGGTATTGTCATGAAATATTAAACATTAATAAATTGTTAATAACATATTGAGAACAACAAACATCTTGTATTCTAAATTTAATAGCCACTGCCATAATTTTGGTTTTAGCAAGAATCATCTTGAAATTTCTATCAGACAACAACAGATTAATATATTCAAAATTGGACCTGTCTGGTATTGTTTTTTAATATGGGCTACATCAATTCCTGTCCAGCCCTCTGCGTAAAAACTTCAAACTAGAAGAACATATTCTCTGTTACTTATTTACTGCCTATATGAATATACCAAGAGGAAAAAATAAATAAAAACAGACCTTCCTCCTAAAGCAATAGAGAGCAAAACCAAACAAAAACCAAAAATACCTAAAAACATTTTAAAAATACACGGGGGCCCCCAGATGATGCATACTGGAATTATAGTACAAGAACTCCACCCATGAGCCAGGTCAGCCTGTTCCCCTCTAAAAAGTAAAAAAATTAAAAAGACATTTTAAAAACTGCTATTCTTTTATATTCCAATGATCCTGCAACAACAAACTTCTCAGTAGCAGCTCATTCCTAAAACTTTTTCATGCCAGTATCCAGGAATTAAAAAAAAAAATGGAAAAAGAAAAAACATTGATCCCTTTTTGTTTAGCTGTCAAATGGGCTTTAGTGAATAGCTTCCACTTCTGAATTGTTTGTGCAGGAAGATCTGGAAAATTCATTATTTTGTTCCACTAAGGTTTTCATCTGCACAAATTCAGTTATTTGAAAAGGTTATATATCATGGAAAATAACGTTTAAACTGGCAGAGAGCTAAGTTTGCTTTTCTTTTTCTTTTGGTTCTAGACTGAATTCAAATGAGTTTGTCATCTATACTATCAGAACCACAAGCTATTCTCTCTCAAACAAGGGGGAAAATTTTTGATATCTCATTCTTCTTAATTTTAGACCCATTAACTAAGGGAAAGATGCCATTGGTCAGTACTTTTGACAGGAAATTTTCTGATTACCAATTAAGCAATAAAACAATCATTAGGACTTTAATATGACAATTTTTTTTACTTAGAATCTCTTCCACCTTGATCTTTCGACTACTTTCTATTCAACACATGACACCAGATTTACAATACTGAATTGATGATATATGTTTGCTTTTGTTGTGCACAAAATTATTATATATTTGAACCACATTGCTTAAAGCATTTTATATAATTATTGTTTCATATTGCTTGATAAGGAGAACTTAAGATGGAGAATTTAGAACAAATATGGAGGATATCAGGCTTCAACTAATGCATAAAAGCTTATAGGTCTTATTTCTATAGCTTGTTGACTCAATTAGCTTAGCAAGAGTGACTTACTTTTATGAAAATTTAGAAGTTAGGGTGAAAAACAATTCTAAAATTATGAGGCAAAATTGTAAAGAACTGCTTATCAGATTCCTACAAAGGAGCCAGGTGTGGTACACTGAACTGACAGAGACCAGGATGAAGTCTTGGCCTTCAATAACATGGACCTAAAGGCTTTATCAGGATAGACAAGACAGCATTCTTGGGAAACTGCAGATGGTACGACAGAAATTGTCCAGTCACAAGCCAGGGTCAGCATAATGGGCAGCCCCTTGGGTGCCTTGAACAATCGGAAGTGGCAGCCTATCTTAGCCATTTTGAATGGGTAGGCAGGACCCACCAGACTCCTGAAAATGGTATAAAGTCTCAATCCCTGGGCTTAGGTCTCTAAGGGATCTCCTGAATCTTTGCAATATTTTCTGCCTCTGCATTTTTGAGTTTCTGACTAGAACAGCCATATAGTTACAGCCTACAACTGGGTAAAGATTCTTGTTAAACTGGGAATGCCGCTGCTAATTCTAACTGAGGAAATCTTAACAAGTGTGTTTCCCACTAATGAGATACATTTCTCTAAATGCTGTGAAAAGGAGTCAAAATCTCAGCACTCCAGGTAGTGTGTTCTGTCAATGCTGTCAAGACTAGGATAACCTGGCTTCTATGGAAAGGTTTAATTCCCTGAGGATCTCCCAGAATTTTGGATACAGTTCATTTCTGGCCACTAAATGTTCATGCTGGCTTGACCATCTGGGTTAGTGGGGTGACAAGTATTCAAAGAAGCAGATAGTCAATGAGTAACTGATCTTAAAAGTTATGTCTAAAAACAATGCACACATAAGCAGACTGTGCCCAGTCTGTTAGAACTCCTTAGTGGAGAACTCTGTCCAGAAAATAGGTAAATGAGAACTTCCCTTTAGTCAAAATACTTTCTATTTATGAACTGGCTACTATCAATATAATGGAAAGATTGATCAATATTATTCTATGTCAACTGATGATTAATTCTGTATGTAAAAATTGGACTGAACAATTTTCTCTGTATGTAACATACTGTGTTTCAGTTGTTCTTTTTTTCCCCTCTTTATATTAATGCAATTAAAAAGTAATAAAGCCATCAAAAGATAAGTAAATTACAACTATGATTGGGTGTGCTTTGAAGTTGTAATTCATCATATTTCCATGTCATTTAAAGTCCATAGCACACCAGAACTGATAGCTTTACAGTATAAAGCTTGGCCAACTATATGATAATGCCACCGATGAAGATGGGACCAACATTTTTACCCTTCATTATTTTGGGGCAGAATTTAAAGCAGTAAAAATTTATTTTTATTATTTATTTTTTAAAGGGGGGAAAACCTATTTTTGTTGACTGGGAGATTTTGGGGGAGGTGTTAAAGAAGAAAAATAGGTGCCTTAAGCCTACCAGAATCTTACGATCCCCTTAGTTTTTTGAAAAAAAAATATGACTAAAACTGTGCTGCCAAATTTCAGCGATATAATCTGGGAAAGTTCTTGGAGCAGCAAAGTAGGTTACAGAGGTTTGTATGTAGCCTGCAGGTTGCCCATCACAAGTAAAGGAGAACTAAGTTGGTTCTCTTCCTCTTTAGAATGCTTCCCACATTTCATTTTATGTCAACATTTTTTTAGTCATTAATACCTTAAGCTGATCATCGACAACCCTTGTAACTTCCCCAGCCATAGATTCTAGGATCTGCTGAATTGGATTGGATAGGGATCCATTTGCTCCTGCCCATGAAGCTCCACCAAGATGATACAGGTTTGGTAATAACTGTAAAAGAAATTATAACGCAGCTAGCATCAATATCTACAATGACTTCTTAACCAAACAAGATATTTAAATTTTGAAAACTTTAGATTTAAAAGTTTTAATATTATTACTCATTCTAATGGAATTGGAACACTAGTATTACAAATATCTGTAATCTCTTACTGTTTTGGAATTCTTAGCATCCTTCATAAGTCTTTCAGCTGATTTCAAATCCTCTTGTATTGTTTCAATTCCACAGTTTCTTAAAGAGTTGAGATGGTCTTGTACTTTGACACATATTCTGTCTATCATCTACACAGGAATAAAATGGGAAAGGAAAGGAATACTCAGAAGCATAGAAAAAAGGATAAAACTAACAAATAAAAGAACAATTAATAAACCTGTTAGGTAGGCTTGGGAGACTGCACATTCAAATATATAACCAAAGTGTATAACTCCACACATTTCTGAGGTTCTTACTTCTTTCTACTGTTATTCATTGTTGAGAAATATTTAAGAGTATATTTCTTGAAATATATAACATGAGTCCCTCATGATTAGATAAGTATATAAAGATTTATCTCTCTATATAAGAATTTATAGAATATATGACATTGTTTATTGTTATAATAATATATTAACACCTTTTTTCCTCTGTTGTATTTTTTCACTTTTTTGTTAAACCATTTTTATGTGTTTTCTTCTTCTTTTTGTAATCAAAAAATGTAAAAAAAAAAATTAAAAATGATTCCCTCATGATGCCTCCCATTTCCAATATCTGTTCCATAGAGTTGAAGGTCTTCTTGCAGAGTGTGGGAGGCAGCAGAGAAGGCTATCTGAGGAAATCTGTAAGAATCACCTCTATCCAGTTTGGTTACGGGAAGCCTCCTCAGAATGCAAGCCTCTCCTGTGAATGGAAGGGCACCTCTGGATCCAACCACTGAAAATTATCTTAATCATAAAAAAACCAAACGGTACCTGCTGTGTTGTGCTAGTAACTATGCCCTGTTGCAGTCTGTATGCTTGCTCTTGTAGATATTTTCGGGTCTCGTGATTACGAAGCAAATAATTTTCTATCTAAGAGCAGAAATTAAAGTCAGATATGATTCCACAAGCCCGGGTTTTAAAAATTAAGTGAAAAAGCATGTTAATACAGAAATAGTGCCTAACCATACAATCTTGTACTTGCATAATCAAAAGTAGATTCCGCTGAAGTCAGTGATGCTGATTTCCAGGTAATTAATATTGGACTACAGCCTTAGTTTTTCTTCAAGGATTGAAACTCAATTCTCAGTATATTTTGATAGTCTTATAATGTTAACTGAAATCAAGGCATCTGACATTATATACTGCTCATTTCAGATTATCAAAATGTAAATTCTATCAACAAAAAAAGTATTATTTTTGAGAAAGAATAGACTACTTAATGCTAGAATCTTCAGAGGAACCTGGCAAGATCAAACCAAAAAACCCCCAAGGAAATAGTTTATTGTCATACCCTTCCAATACAGAAGATTATATCTCACATTCTAAGCAAATCCAAATAACCCCATTTTTAAATCTCTGTTAAGCACATAAATATTCTAATGCTTAAAGGAATATTGCCTAAGTTTACAATCTTGTCACTGCTTCTATTCTCACCTCCCATGCCTATCAGAGAAGAAAACACATCTCTACATCATGGTGATTCTTCATTATTAATACTCAGATGCATTTATGAGGGTAGGTGGGTGTGGACTTCAGCAAGACAACTGGAGAATTTGCTTCAGCAGCCATGAAAGTGCAACTTTGTTTTTATTTATCCACTTCAATTTATATCAGTAAATGTAGGAAATACCTTTTGAAGTGCCTCTTCTGTTTTCTCAGGGTTTGTTTTCAGTGCTTGTGAAGCATCATTCACAGGTATAGGCATGAATCTTAAGGTATAATTCCTTTAAAAAAATTAAAACAAAAAGATTAGATGCACACACACACAAAAATTACTTAGAATGTTCTTGTATGCACTCTGATCCTTTTGCTGTATTTCTATACATATATGATAGTCAACTTGTGTTTTATCCTCTGTGACATTAAAATGCAATTAAATCAATGTTTAAATAAATGAAATGTTATAAACTCATATATTATTACTCTATTTAGATGTCTTTATAACCTGCCCTTTGTCTGAGAACTTCAGGCAGGTTACCCAAGAATCCCTCCTAACTTTAGGTTCACAACTACAGTTCTCTGAGATAAACTGGCCTGAGAGACAATGACTGGCCTGAAGTCACCCAGTGAGTCCATGGTTGACTTGGGATGTGAACTTGAGTCTTCCCAGTCCAAATTCAACACTGGCTCTCACTGTAGTACTATTGAAATATACTACAGGTTTACCACTAAACTATTTGACCTGAGAAAAATAAATATAGTTGTAGCAGCTAGGCTTTCAATACAAGTATAATCTTAAACTGAAATTTCTGAAAAAGTATTTCAAGATGGGGATAACTTAAAACTATGATTTACCCATTTTATCAGTGCTAAATTTGTGTTCAACCAGTTCAGATTAGTTGGTTTTTGCAGTACTAACTTGAAAATGCACCCTTGTTTAAGTAAGACTTGATGTAAGCTACTGAAAGAGTAGCTGCCCAATCAATACACCCTTGGAAAGTGCCTTTTGAACATTTCCATCATAACTTTCAAGTGCATTTCTCAGTATTATAGTATTTGATGCATTGTGCTCTGGCAATATAATGATCAACAGATCATACTTTATTGAACAAGTAAGTAGCAAGAAATAGCAAAGGTAATATTCTTTGCTTTTCTTTACACTGTTGTACAGATGTCTATAAGAATAATACAATTATAAAAATCTATATCAGTGATTTTTATATAATTAGAAATGAAATGGTTATATTCCTTATTTGTTGCTAGGAATGGGTTAGGTTATTTTTACAGATAATTTTTGTATTTTAAGAATAGAAGAATAAGCAATGTTCCATAATTTTGCTAGGATATATGCTACACACAATGTTTTAATTACAGTTAGAAATATATTGTATGAAAGACAGCCATTTATTCCAAAATCAACAGTGGAGGACAGCTTAGAGCTTCAATGAACAAAACAAATGGGTTCCAGCAACGACCGTGGTGTAAAAAGTGAAGAATACAGAAGATGACTAGAGCTGTCACCTTCATAAAATCAGAGCTGTTATATTAACACCAACATTTCCGTTTTCTGTCATTCACCCTCAGTTCCTTTTTTATTTATCTTGGCAGTTTAGAAGAAAAGATCAAGTTTTTAAATAGGATGCTAGTGAGCTTTTTCTGTGAACAAGATGTATGTTGTCGGTTGTAAAGTGATTTTTTTCCCCCTCAAGTCAGCCACTGTCCTCTATCTGTATGATTAAATGCTTTAATAAATAAACTGGCACTAGGTTTTAGTTTTAATTACACAAGAGTCATCGGCTGGCAAATTTAGTTCAGGCTTAAAAACGTTACTCATTTATACAGGTAGTTCTTGGTTAATGAGGGTAATTGGGACCGGAATTTCCACTGGTAAGCAATGCGATTGTAAGGAGCAATGTCACGTGACCGCATCGCTTAGGGATGGCAATCCTGGCAGTCCCCACTGCTGTCGTTAACTGAATCCCACCAGTAATTAGGTGAGGACCCACCCTGATCCAAGTCATTCCTGGCTTGGTCCCACCCAGCCTCGAGCCTCAGTGAGGTATGGGAATGTGCCCTCTTGAACTCCCCCACTGGCCTATCTCCCCCCATCTTTGCCCTTTCGGCCGCCCTGCACAGTGGCACTCCTCAGCAGTGGTGGCGCTGGGTTGAAGTAGAGGCCTGGTGCCTTCAGCAGTCTGAGCTGGCTGTCGCTGCCCCTAAGCCTCTACTTCAGCCCCAGTGCCACCACTGCCGCTGAGGGGTCTGCCTCAAGCCTCATGCTGCAGCCAGCCAGCCACCTCAGCACAAAGCCCCAGCCGCCGTGTGCTCTGCCAGCCCTGCCATCCCCAGCTGACCTTCTAGATTATAAACAAATCTAGAAACACAAAACATACTCAAGATTAGTCCTTCTTCTGCTTTACTAAGGTTTATGATGCAAAACAACTTAATGTCTTAATTTAAACTATCCTATTTAATCTTAATTTGATTAAGCTATTTGGTGGGATAGGGAAGGAAAAGAAGATAGATCAAAATAAGCTAGCCTCTAATTTTTCCAACCAATTTCATAACATGAATTATCATGGGTCCAAAACTACTCTATACATATTAGAGGGAATTCTAACGAAGAGCCACATAGAACTTACTTTTCCAGTGCCACTGCTATATCCTGGAATCCCTGAGCAGTGATATTGTTTTTGTCCCATATAACAGTTCTATATGGAAACAGAAATTATGGATTTGGTGATGAAAATGTTGAAAACAACCACACATGCATTAATGTTACACAAGCATTTTCAACAGTGAGTTGGGAGAAATATTGCAGTAAAAAGAATAAAATAACGCCTTTCTAATGAAAGCATAAAACTGGGTTAAAATATGCATCTTGTACCTTTTTCATAATTTGTACTCTAGCTATGTCCTTCAGATATTGCATTTCCCCCTCCCACTCTAGAAGAACTGTATGCTTTTAAACTTAGTGTATATGTATTCTGCTACATTTTGCTAAAATAATACTTACAATAAGTCAACAACATACAACCACTAAAACCAACAAAATGAAATGAAACACAGAAAGAAGCAAACATTCCACCTCGCCCCACCCAAAAAAAGAGGCAACAAAAAATCCTATAAGCAATAAAGATCAGTAAGTATCATTATCATGATATAAAAATCTCTAAAGCCAAAAAAGATGCCAAAAACAAATTACTGGCTTCTGAAACTAAATACAGTGATCCTGGTGAGCGTCAATAGGAAAGGCTTGCTACAGAGCTTGAAAAGCTCCTGAACTTAGAAGATACTTAATGGACATCATTTGACCAGAGGATCTGGAGTGTATTTTCTTATTATAAATACCGTATTGGTATAACACAAACTAGAGAAAACAGTCCTTTGGTCACTCATTCCCCAAGCCTAAACCTGCTCAAATGACTATTGGGTAATGGTGTCCAAAATTAAACTAGCTGCTATGGGGGATAGGCATGAATAGTTCCTCAACTCTTTGTTTTCTTCCATATGGGAAAATAGAAGAGTAAAAAATGAGCAGGGCTTTAAGCTTTTCTATCTTGGTCTCTTCAAACTTATCTTAAGTAAGGAATCCTTCTCTCCCTACAATCCAAATAAAATTATGAGATCATGGATTGCAAAAACAATCTGTGGTAGATCTTTTGAATGGAGGGGAGAAGGGAAACAGAAAAGAGTTACTCGGCACTAAATCACAATTTATTTGTTCCAGATTGCAGCTTCCTATGCAATTTTTCAACTAGTAATTAGACAACAAGCACAGGGCTTTGACAATTTGGATCCATGGAATGTGAAATAACTAAAAGTTAAAATGCTGCATTTTTAAAAAAGCAAATATATTGATCTCATTGCTGTGTTTTATGTGTTGTTTTATTGTTGTGAAAGCCTTGGGATTTTATATAAACAGAAAAGCAGGATATAAATTGAATGGTAATGATGATGACAATGATGGTAATATAGATATTCAATACCTGAGTTTGGTGTTTATCTGAAGAGCCTTTGCAAGCATCTTTGCCCCCATGTCACCCATACCATTTCCGCTAATATCAATTTTTGTAAGAGATGTATTGCTGCCCAAAGCATTGATAATGATAGTGATCTCTGTTTTCAGTTTAGAATCTGCTAGAGAGAGAGACTGCAAAGGCTGGGAAATAAACAGATTATAATATTACTTCACTTTTTTTAGCTCTTTTCAAAATCTCAGATCAGCTGACAATTAGACGTGCATGAAATGTAGAATATTATTGAACGTATACCCTATTATTCCAACAAACAATATAAAAATAAAATACAGAACAAGAAGTCAAGAAAAATGGTCATTATAATATTGAGTCATGTTATCTTAACTAATATAAGACACAGACTAGTTAACCTGATGAACTGCACTGTTATCAAAAAATGCTTATGTCATAATAAATATGTCAATATTTAAGGTGTTATGGGACTTTTAATTTTTTTCATGTAGGCCAGGGTACATTGGATCTACATGAAAAAATCATTTCATGTAGATCCAATGAAACACATTTTTCAGCTCTAATTACACAGAGTAAATTAGTGAAATCATCTGATTGGAGGGGGCCTTGGGGTGGTATACCACCTGTAGCCGAAACTGAAGATCCATTACATATTTTTGGATCAAAGGCAAAACAGCTGCATTAAGCCTAGCTTATTTTAACCTGTGTTTCATAAAAGTACATAAAAAGGGGCTAAGAACAATTGCTATTTTGCTGCTAGACTAGCAATCAATGTTGGGTCTCAGGGACCTTCATGTGGTCCACAGGTTACCCCAGGTGCATTTAGCCTGAGGCCCCAGGGATAAATGCAGCTTCAGATGCTAGGGTACAGTTCCTTGAGACCTCCGTAAGATGTTATCCAATTGTATTTTATGAAATATGACACAAGATGAGATTAAAAATAATTAATAAATCAAATAAATCAGATATACCTTTATCCTGATGTTAGCAGCCTTAATCTCACAGGGAGCTTGTATGACTACATTGTTTAGCCCCAATTACAAGAGGGATTGCAACAACAGAAGCCTCATTTTATTTAAGCCTTTATGAATGAACACAGATCAAAAGGAACAAATACAATTCCTCTTTATTTAGGCCTGAAGATAACTCACTAACCATTCTTTAAAGACATGTCTATATCCTGCAGCTTTCCTCTTATCCCCAGGCCACAGATGAGGCCTTGTAATTGGTTTTTCTGATCTGATGTTTTAATAGTGTCTTCTTTTTTCTCCCAAAACAAGCATTGCTGTTTGCAAAGTTTGTATTGTTTTAGTAGTGGCCAAGCTGATGGTGCCAAAGAGGCTGGAATCTGCCCAGCTCCACTTGGCTGCTACAGGCCACCCCCTCCTCTCTAGTTGCTGATTTTCTTCTATGGCCATTTTAGTTTGTGTTATTGGACTGATGTAACAGGGAGCAGCAGTGCCAACATTACCAGAGAAAGCAGCAGACCAGGACTTGTCTAAAGTGATGTCTGCTAGGGGTCTGAGAGACGTTGCTTCAGAGAGATGCTGGGCTATTATTTCCTCTAGTACTGCTGTATCCTGATGTGACCTACCTGTCAACCCCAGATTGATCTGAAGGGCAATAACCCTAACCCTATTGGTGGGGGGCATTTGTTGCTGCACAGATGTGACAAAGAAAGAAAGAAAGGTCTACTGATAAAGCTGTACTATGGCTGCTAGAAGAAATAATGGCTCTCTAAAGCAACTTGCCTGTCAGTTGAGGCATTTTTTTCCCATACGGGTCTGACAGGCAGGTTGCACTGAAATTGCTAGAGCATTACTTATATTTAAAGGTCCTGACACATGGCTAAATCCACTGTTTTAGGCATCTGTCAAAAACTGTGTCCTCCCACTGCTGCAGCCCCAGCCCAGGGGCAACTGGAGAATGTTTTTCCACTGGCAAGAAAATTTAGCAATCATCACATCTTAATTTTTCCCACAGTAAACTGTTAAGACATTACCACTAACTTCCTCATTAGAGGCAGAATAGAAATCAGCTATGAAGACAAAGCAAATTAACAGATTATGCTGCCATACTTTGTAATGCTTCATAGACCGGCTGCCTATATGTATTCTAAATGTGGCAGAAGACACTACTTATTGCGTAATAACAAATGTCTAAAGGTCCAGTGCAAATACTGAAAAATACAATAGCAATGAAAAGGTCCCCCCCCCCACAACATATGCCATAGCAATACAAATGCATCAGCTCCTAAGTAAAAAAACCAAACCAAGTTTGTTGCAGTTTTCTTGATAGCTTGAAAACAGATTATTAGCTCTTGCTGCAGCTATGCAACCTTTAGGTGAGTTATTAGAAACTAACTTGGAACATTATGCAAATTAGAAACCCAGTGGACTGCAACTGTATAATTGAAAAGCCTATCCCTGATACAGAAATGCAAACATTTTAATTTAAATGACAGTAACATTCATTTTCCTAATCTCCAAGTGCATTCTTATACATAATTAGAAAGGATTAGCTTCAGATTGCTATGGTATTTGGGAATGGTAGCAATTTAACTGAGATGCTTCCAACACAAAATTATAACAGGTTCATCTTTCAATGAGTTCAACAGAACCTGTTTACATGGCAAAGCATATTTAAACAAATTTTTAAAAACTCAGTAGAAAATGCAGAATTCACCACCATTATGGAAAGTGTATATGTGATTGGTTTTATTTTTTTCCATATTACATAGATCCTCCAGATATGTGCTCTTTTTCTACAATCTGGCATGTCTATTTTTTAACATGTTTTCTCTGCTTCTGTATGTCTCTGGGACATTAATATTGACTTATCCACAACTGATCTACATCTGCTAAGCCTGAAAGATCATAGTATCCTCCATTATCTAGTTCTCTTTCCTGAACAGACTATTTACCCTGGTCACCTAGAGATTAATTCAGTGTAAATCATAGTAGTTATTTACTTGGGCCCTTTACATACAGTATTCTCTGGCCATGTTGATTTGAGAACTTAGAGAAGGGGAGTGGTAGAGGTTAAAAATAACTGTTTCTGCAGAAGAACTAAGAATCAAAATCAGTATACTACACTTCTAACTAAATGTATTATTTGGGTTGGGAATATTACTGCTTTTAAAAAAATTACCAAATGAACATGGATATAACTAATATGGATGCAACATGTAGCTGGGAGAAAAATGTAGCATTTTAGAATGAATGGATTCCACCACAATGTTTGGATTATATCTAACTAAAAATAAAACTCTCTCTCATATCAAGTCTTTAAAGGCTGTTCACAAGACAGCTATATGGATATTATTATTCACATTAATGTATAAGCTTTTATTTTGTTCAAGATTACATGTAATAGTTGATGGGTACCAAGCAGTTTCTATGTTAGAGAAAATTAGAATTAATCCTTGGAGAAATCCCTCTAACTCTCCACTGTACAGTTTATACGAAGATTATAAAAATCTGAACTACAGTGAGGCTTTTAACTGTCTTTATCCTTTATCATTTTCTAATAATGGGAATTTGTCCATTTTAAGTTGTTTAGGATAATTTCCAGGCACTCTGATACTTGAGGAATTTTTTCAATTCACATTTATTAAAAAATAAACTGTTTTCATTCAATATACTTTATCAGGTAAATGGTTATAGGACATGTAAGCTATTCCTATGTTTGTAAATTTATACTTTTATATTTGCTATTTCAGTTTAAAGAATATCCTCAGTTTCTGAAAGATCTTTTTATCTTTGCCTTGAAAATCCAGCTTGGATATAGGGCTCCGTTATAAGTTATGCAAGTTACAAATGTTCTCTGCTTCAAGTCCCTTCCCCCATCTCATGTGAGAATTAAAACAAAAGGGCAGGAAAAAATACATCTGTATTAGCACACAGAGAACTTGAAGAAATCTGTCTTGTGCCCATTTGAAGCAACTTCTGTCCAGAAGGTTAGCCTACTGTTGCGGTCCCCACGTTCTGGAACAGCATCCCCCCAGAGATAAGGGTGGTGCCTTCTCTCCTGGGGTTCCGGAAAGCTTTGAAAACCTGGCTTTGGTCCCAGGGCTGGGGTTGATGTTTATTATTTGTTCAATACCCCTGCTTTGTTTTGCTGTTTTTGCTATTAGATTATTTTAGTCTGGGCTGTCTGTGTGATTCAATGCTTTTAGCTGTTTTTATGTTTTCCCTAGTTTTGTATGCCATCCAGAGTCGAGTGCCCTATACATTTAAATAAATAATAATAGTAAAATATTGATAAAATACTAAAACAATTTACATGAATGATTGAAAGAAACAATCAAGCAACCAGGCAAACTCTCTTATTCTCCCCAAACGCTTCCGCAAAGTCTTATTTTTTGATATTACACTTTGATTATTAACACTTTTCCAACACCAGTTGATCTATATTTTCAGCCATTCAGAGGAAGGAGGAAGATGCGTGGTCAAAGTCGGCCCTGGATGGAACCAACTTCTCATCCAGCCAGCCAGGGGTTATGCATTACCTAGAGCTGTTTGGGTGATATACAGTATGTGAAAGGGAGAAAGCAGAAATAATCTAAGCACTACCTTCCCTGCTGTCACTCTCACACAATGCAAACCATCTGTTTGGCAGATGTGAAAAGACAATTGGTTGACTGGCCTATGAAATTAGACACCATTTTTAATAGATGTGTCACATTCTGTCTAGTTCTTAAATAAGGAATTTATCTGCTCATAACAGAATACAGAATCTGCAATATGAAAAGGAACAGAAAGTGGTCAGAATTTATACTTAGCAGAAGTATTCAGGTAAATTATTTTTAAATGCTTAAACTCACTGTTAAGATATAATTTTTCCATGTGTATTGTCTTCAGCAATCCCAAATTCAACCGCAACACAAGGTTCCATCCAGAGTTCTAGCCAATCTCATTCTATAGGTCTGGCATTTTAGTCTCATGTAACCTATCCCCCAATTTTTTCTTTTTTTGAAGAGACGCTTAACATTTTACTGAGCATACAAACTTTGTTGGTGGGATTATTTTTTGCCCCTGTAGAGATTTATTTATTTGTTTATTGATAAAGCTAGGGTTGTCTCCAAAGAACACTGATGATTAATCTTTCTTGGTCCCTGCTGGAATAACTTCTGTCAGCACTCACTACCTGAGTTTGCTATCAGAGAGACAGACTACATCTGCACAGACTCAAATCAATTTTACCATAAACAAAATGTCCAAAAATCTTGACTGAGAGTATATTCTGATTATCAGTAATCAGGGACAAACAACAAATATTTTCTCACAGATCAAGTAACACCATTTAATGACAACTAATAAACAAACCCAAAAAATGGAGTGTTGGTTGATGTTTCAAGTCAGAAAAAATAGTAAAAGAAAGGACAGGAATATTTAAACATTATTTTCTATTAAACTTCAAACACTGCTGTGCCACATAAAATGAAACATAGACCCTTAAAAATTTTTAATGTTCAAATAATACTTTTTACAATAGCAGACTTCCTATTTATTATATAAATTTGAAATGGTAAATTAATATGAGCAATATTTTCACATATTTGTGATAGTTTAATAATACTCAGTGATACACTATGATTCCTTAGGTGACATTAAATAGTAAAAATAATACTTACTGAATCTTCATCTTGAATCATCTGCACTAAATTATCAAGTACAGGAGACAGATTTCTGAAAAGGTGCCAAGCATGAGAAAAAAATGAAATTGCTTACTTGTCTTAAAATTTTTCCTTTTACAAAAAAATGAAAAAAATAAAAATCTTACTTGGATTTCATGTTGTTAAAATTTTTGCCCAATGCCAAGTGTCTTATTGATCGGTTTTTACTAAGCCAGATTATAAGTGTTGAAAGATCAGATTCTAGGCCTGTGAAGAATCAGATTGAAATATAAAATTAAAATAATATTTCCATGGAGCAGTTTTTTCAGATGAGTTTGAATTAACCATACTAATATTAGATTATATGATCCTGTTTCCAACAGTAAAGTTGTTTGGTGACACACTGTGATACCACTAAGTTCTTTGTTTGAAATTTAAAGTCCATTGTTCCTAATAGTTTTTATACAGTAGGTGTGTGTTTGTATGTGTGTGCACGCATAAATAGAGAAAAAGAGAGTTGGGAGCCATTAAGTAATTGAGCCACAACTTCTCTGTATTTGAGTACAATTGATTTCAGTGAGATTCTTGATCCAGGGTGACAGATTTGAACCTCTGCACCATTTCTTTCCAAGATGCACAGGATCACACTGGGCATTTATATATTATGGTTAATCATAAAATATTAACTAGCAAATAGACAGTTTTAGCCAACATTAACTAGCAAATAGATTTTAGTGCCCCCCACACATAGGATCTAAACTGTCCCATGAGCAGCCAGAGCAATGTTGCCTGAGAACTATCCACTGTGGTTTATTATCCCACATACCTATGGTTTATGGTAATTAGTTTAGGGTTAAACTAATCCGTGAAGAGTATTATTATCCTGCATTTGAATAATCTCTTTAACTATTTCGCAAAGCAGAAAAGGTGCTTATTAACCACCATTTTGCTTTATGCCAATACAGTAACTTTGTATGATTCATATTCCTTAAACAGTTTTCTCTCCACGCAATATTTGGACCACTGTCAATATGCTGTCTTACCATTATCTGAAATATCAAGGCTGGCAATATTATGTATTTCTGCTATGCATCCTTCTAAAACTTGTGCACCACCCGATCTTAGCTGGAGGAAAAAAGAAAATATTAAGATAATTTAGCAGCTAGACAATATGGAATGATTGGCTGAAATGTTACAAATAAACTTCAGTAGTTTATATTTTAGTTGTTAATATGCTGCTTAACCTATTTGACCTGAAACAAGGTATATACACTACAAACGATTATTATCATTAATAACAATAATTTAATTAATGTCCTCTTAAGTAATATTTTTTTTAGAAAGTCTATAGCAGCTCCCATAGGAATTCCAATGCTCCCCTGATCTAAACAACGTTCAGGTTTGTGCCTATTATCATTAAGTTTCACATACCAATCCCCAAGGTTTTGCAACCTGTTTAATCAAGATTTAAGTTACACTCTATACGGCTCTTGGTCACCAAGCTGCCAACTGGATACACAGACAATTGCAACAAGAAAAAGAGAACAAGCAGAGCTATATTAGATTGCAGTGAACTCTGAAGGGCAAGTCTGCTATTGTAGCGAAGCAAAAGATTTGCTGAAGGACAGTATAAATGAAAGAGCATCTGATCCACATTTGAAAAATAATGTAGCATAGTTCTTTTGTACTATAAAAACACACAGGCAGACAATTTTGATAATTTAAATTATCTAGCACGGCAAAAGATCAGGACCAAAGAAAACCTGATGTATCAGGAATAATATTATACTAGAAATATTCCATGCATACTAAGTTTTAGTTAGCAAACATCACACACACACCCAGCTTGATATGCAAGAGATTGTAATGGGAAGAAGGAATAACCCTGAGGAGGAAGACCTGCAACCAAGACAACAGTGAGATAACAGAAATTTGAGCCCAAGCCAGATGTATAACCTGAGTAAGCGTCTCAGACAAGACCCTCCCTAGTTCTCACAAAGATAAAGGGAGGGAAGGGGGAAGCGCATTCAGACTTGCAAGATTCTATACTATAACCTTATAATACAAGTAGTATTAGCTTGATGACTTTGGTCTCCTAGTCTGGTCTACCTTGGAGGGCTGACAAAGATTTAGATGGTCTTCACTTCAAAATGCTGATAGGGAACCTCTCAATACAACTGGTGACTAAATGTTACATTAACTATAATTCAGCTTTGCAATTATCAGTAGGAAGCATGAAGGCAGGCAAAGTTGCACACTTGTCTTGCAAAACACTAACAAACATTACATATTTATTTATTTTATTTATTTACATATCAAATCTGTCACTGCCCATCTCGTTAAAAAAATGACTCTGAGCAGTTTACAAAGCAGCTAAAATCAATTAAAATTATAATATAAAATAATCCTAAACAAATAGAAAATAAATATAATTCAAAGATAGATGTTAAAATTGGCAGGAACCTGAGAGCGTCATCAAGGTGCCAGCCACCCTCAGGGTTGGGTAAGATTCTTGTCATCCCATGCAAGCTGGCAGAGCCAGGTCTTTAATCCTTTCCAGAAAGCTGGGAGGGTAGGGGCCTGCCGCACCTCTGGGGGGAGGATATTCCAAAGGGTGTGGGCAATGGCAGAGAAGGCTCTCCTCCTGGGCCCCGCCAGCCGGCATTCTCTTGCTGATGGGGTCTGCAACATGCCCTCTCTGTCTGACTGGGTGGGATGGGTTGATGTGATGAGGTGGGGATGAGATGGTCCCTTAGGTAACCTGGACCCATGCCATGTAGGGCTTTAAAGGAAATAACCAACACTTTGAATTGGACCCGGAAGCAAACTGGGGCCCAATGCAGCTCCCGCAGTAAAGGTGTTATATGTGACGTTCTTGGGGCACCCAAGATTGTCTGCACAGCTGCATTTTTAACCAGCTGTAGCTTCTGGATACTCTTCAAGGGGACCCCATGTAGAGCGCACTGCAATATAGATCAGGGCTACAATATTTGATCTACAAAAGTTGCATCTCTCTCCCTCCCTCCCTCCCTCCCTTTGCTGGCATCTCATAATCCTCTGAATTTTTGCAGTCCAGATATTAGGGACTGCATAAAACAGGAAAAAATGTTTTAATTCAGGAAGAAGTCACTGTCCAGAGATTCTGCCTAACTCTTTGGAATCAGCCATGTTTTGGCATAATCAAATCCCAGACGAAGATAAATAGGGCAAGGCTGGTGAATGTTGTATCCTTTCTCCCCTTCCTTCCTCAGTAACTCACAGCATGGTATATCCCACTGTTCTACCTGCTTCCCCATATACTCAGTGCTTCCTTTCCCTCCTTTTCCTCATCTACTGCTGATATACCAGCCTGGGCACCTATACCGTACTCTACTGGTCTTGCTAATAAGGAACATGCTTACAGCATGATGTGCCTTACTAACTTACAGTGGTACTTAAAAGTTTGTAAACCGTTTTGAATTTTGAATATTTCTGCATAAATATGACTTAAAACGGGATCTGTTCTCCACACAAGTCCTAAACTAGATAAAGAGAACCCAAATAAACAAATGAATAAAAAACATACTTGTTCATTGATTTATTGAGGAAAATGATCCAAAGCTACATATTTGGGTGTGGCAAAAGTAGGTGAACCTCTAGGATGATCAGTTTATTTGAAGGGGAAATTAGAGTCAGGTGTTTCAATCAATGGGATGTGTGGAAGGCCCTGACTCATTTAAAGAACAAAATTCTGGGTATTCATTATCAACGTCTGATCTTTCCAACACAGGTATGTGGAAGTGTGTCATGGCTCGAACAAAGGAGTTTTCTGAGGGCTTCTGAAAAACAGTTGTTGATACTCACTAGGCTGTAAAAGGTTACAAAACTATTTCCAAAAAGTTTGGACTCCATCATTCTCTGTCAGGCAGATCTTGTACAAATGGAGGCAATTCAACACCACTGTTACCTTCCCCAGTAGTGGTCAATCAACCAAGTTCATATCAAGAACAAGGCATGTAATACTCTAGAAGGTCTCAAAGAAGCCCAGGGTAATGTCTGAGGAACTAAAGGCCTCTCTTGCATTGGTAAATATCAGTGTTCATGAGACCACCATCAGGAGAACACTGAACAACAATGATGTGCATGGCAGGGTTGCAAGGAGAGAGCTACTACAGACTGCTGCTAGTCTACAGTTTGCAAAACACCATGTGGATAAGCCAGATAGCTATTGGAAGAATGTGGATAGATGAGACCAAAACAGAACTTCTGGCTTGAATGAAAAGTGTCATGTATCTTCTGGACAGGACAGCTTGCCATCACTGATGGACTTATGAATTCTGAATTGTACCAGCAAATTCTACAGGAAAATGTCAGAGTATCTGTCTGTGAACAGAAGCTCAAGAAAAAGTGGGTCATGCAGCAAGACAATGACCCAAAGCACACAAATCATATGACCAAAGAATGGCTAAAGCAGAAGAAAGTTAATGTTTTGGAATGGCCAAGGCAAAGTCCTGATTTGAATCCTATAGAAATGTGGAAGGACCTAAAGTGGGCAGTTCGTGCAAGGAAGCCCACCAACATCCCTGAGTTGAAGCTGCTCTGTAAGGAGGAATGGGCTAAAATTCTTCCAAGCTGACGTGCAGGACTGATCAACAGTTATTGGAAATGTTTAGTTACAGTTATTGCTGCCCAAGGGCAGTTACTGAAAGCACCACACCACACCACACCAGTTACTGAAAGCAAAGGTTCATATAGTTTTGCCACACACAAATATGTAGCTTTGCATAATTTTCCTCAATGAATAAATGAACAGTATAATGTTTTTGACTCATTTGTTTAACTGGGTTTTCTTTATCAATTTTTAGGATTTGTGTGGAGAACAGATCACATTTTAGGTCATATTTATGCAGAAATATTGAAAATCCAAAAGAATTCACAAACTTTTAAGCACCACTGTACTCCTAACTTCCTAACTCCTTCCCTTTCCTCTAAGCCTGAAAAAGCTATGCAGGATTAGATCTGGTTAGTACGTTGATGAGAGATCACCAAGAAATCTAAAGGCTGCTGACTAGACTGTTGGAAATGGCAAACCACTTCCATACTCCCACCAAAAAACCAACATGGATGATATGTCCCTGTAGTTACTAGGAGCTAAGCTCGATTCAATTTAAGGCTAAGATACAATATAAATTTTAATAATTATGTGTATTATATATATTCACATTATGTGTTTTTATTAATTTAAATATTTTTGTTTCCAAAATAAAGTTTTAATTGTCATCAAAATATTGTAATGTATTCTTTGTGTAGATGTTGTTGTGCACAGCATGGAAACTTCAGATCTGGCAAAATACAGATGCTAGACTGTTGTCTCATCTTACTAGATATTATTAAAAGAGCTACACTGATTTAGTACCAGGCCAAGTACAATTTGGGAGCAGAATAAATGAAAAAAAATCTCCTTCCATATCAATCTGCCAGATAATAATTAATTGAGGTCTTTCTGATTTTGCATCATTCTCCAGATATTCATTTGGCATCAGGCAGGAAGAAGGCCTTTTCTGTATGGTTCCCACTCTGCAGAATATCCTCACCCCAGAGATAAATCATGTGCCAATCTTATTAGAATTTAAGTACACCATCTTTATTCATCTTAACCCTTGATACTAAACTTGATGATGCTTCTGGGCCATTATTCACATCCAATTTCTAATCTTATTATTTTATATGTTTTAATGTATTTCAAATTGTATCAAATATATTTAATAGTGTGTATCCCTCAGAGATGCTTGATACAAAAGGGACATCAGTATTTTAAAACAAGCAAATAAATGAATATGTAATGCAAAAAAATTTTTTTAACCGTGAAATGGAAAAATAGACATGTGTAAAAAAAATATATATATATATGCATGAACTCATTAGCCTTCTTTTTATAATTATACATTTTATATTAAGTCTGTAGCTATGAATCATCTGTTTAAGAACATGTACTTTTGTTCCTCATTCTAGAATTTCAATGGGTCATTTCAAACTACTGAAGTCAGTCTCTCTACCTACCTGTTTATCTAGGGAATGGTAAGTATTCAGTGGCAAATATTACATGGTTGTTTCAATATGTTTTAAATTTTCATCAATAATTCTTAATAAATGTACTCAGTTTTAAGTCTGCCTGACTTAAACCCCATTCACACAAAGGACAGGTCTAAAATTCACTGAGAAAAATATTTTTTAAGCTAAATTTTGTAGATGTGTGTATACCTCACTCTGGCACATCATCTTTTTCTAGCCTTGTTTGTACTGAAAATCTCCCCTAAACTGTGAGATTCCAGGATTTCAATAGGGTGCTAATGCACAGTTAGATTAAGATATCACTTTCTACCTGGGAAGGATAGGATGGAGAATGACCACAAGTCAGTCCAAAGGTCATTCCTTCAGAATTTAGATTTGCAATGAACACTGTACAAAAATTGTTGCAGATTCACTGGAATTATAACGATGTTTTCTGAAAATATCTATTTCTACCTTGGAATATTAAATAATGAAAATGTGTCTAGTTGTTTAAATAAATAAAATTATACATATGCATCTGGGGATTCCCAGCCTAGTAGGGATTCCTAGACAAAGGCATTTTAAAAAACGGACATATTTTCCAGGTTTATCACAGGAAATGCTGGCAGAAACCATAACTATTCTTTGACCATTTCACTCTAAACCAAAGTTATGCTGTGGCCAAATATCAGCATTCTGATCTTTACCAGTTAAAAGGATGCATGGAAGAAAGAATTATGTAACGGATAGGCAGGAAGTGAGAAGCTTAAGGGTTAATAATTAAGAGGCTGCTAGTAAGCTATGATGTGTACTTACACAGTGACCAAGCTAATGGAAGCAGGAAGAAAGAAAGGAAAAAATGTTAGCACTCAGCAACTAAAAATATTTTATATAATAAAATCAGCAATATATAAAGGAATTAAGCTTTGGTTCAGAGTTAGTATGCTAGATATTTGTGATGGTGTTCTTTGTATTTCTCAGCGATGAAGTCCTGAGTATTTGGACAGAGAAGTCTCAGCTGCTGTGCTTTTTGCTTGATATGCATCCAATCCTCTACAAGGAATGGATTCATATCAAAAAATAAGTGTATTTTGTCTGACTTTTTACATGAAGACACTAATTGCACCAGTGATAAAAAGTAAGGTTTCACAACAGAATGAACAGACCTTATGCTTAAGAATAAAAAGAAACAAAACAGACTGTTATGCTGTCTGGTAACTGTAAGAAAGATTTTGATTTCAAACAAAACAGGGAACATTTTTAGTTTTGCCCACGAACTTCTAAACAGTTTTCTAATTGCTTTTTTTTCAATGCAGACTTATATGTAGAATCAAATATTCCATCTGAATCTTCCCTATTCCAGAACAGAGTACCATGAGTTGCTGCTATTCAAGAAAACAACAAAGCAGATGGATATGTACACACTTGCACACAGAGACATTCGGGTTCTATAAATTCAACATACTTTCAAAGACCGCTTATTTCATAAGCATGACGACATGTACAAAGTATATGGATCGTATGTTTGAGGAGGGCAATATTATTTTGACATGCATGCCATTTGTAAATATTTCATACCTCACAGTTACTCAGATCTAGAAACACCTCCTTCACATTTTGATTACAAGCAAGACCAAGTAAGAGAGCTCTGAAAAATAAATTGAAATTATATGGAATACCACTATAAAGTTTACTGAATCAGCAAGTCAGAGAAGTCATTTCAATTATATTGCTGTTCTTTAAGAATTTGCTTATTTGGTGCACCACCTAATATTTGGAATCTGAAAGGGATATGCTAGATAAATGATGCTGCTTCAGAATAAACCATGCTATGGAGAACTGGAAAGCCTTCAAAGGCACAGAGTCTCAAGCTCCTTTCTACACCCAAATTTTCTTCTTTATTTTATGGTTTGAAAATTGAGGGAGATACTCAACAAAGTCTGACAAATCAGACATAATGACAAACAAATGCCATGAAAACATGAATCTGCAATGTTTTTAAACTTCTTTATGAAGCCAAAACATTTTAATATCTTTTAACTAAAGCACATTTATACTGAAACAGTAAGTACAAAAATATTCAAATATTTACAAAAAATAAGCAAAATAAAATATAAGATAAAAGAACTGCATTTTATAATTCATAAAACAGAAATCAAAGAACAAACAATCTATACAACCCTATAAACTATTCCATAGGATTTTTAAAATCTAAATTAAAGATTGTTGCTACACAAATGATATAATGTATTAATTTATCATATTCAAATCTAGATACAGGATTGCTTAGATCTTAATCCTTTCTCCTCTACACATTATGAGTCAAGATTGGATATCAAAAGGCAAGTCAAAACAAATTCATACTGAATATTTCACTTCTGACATTTACTCTCCATGTGAAAGCCAAATAGCTATTCTCAATCTCACAAAACATATGGGTCATTTTCCTACCCACAGTAAGATTTTCATAAAACACTTTCACAATGAAATTAAAAAATCTTGAAAGAAAAAAAAATTGCTTGCTTACTTTAGAGGCTCAGGTGGAAGTTTAGTTCCTGAAAGGTTGATTTGCACTAAAGCAAGTGAACTGCTGAAAAATTGTTTGAATGACGGGGGGATTTCCTTGCTCTTTCTTTAAAGAAGATAGATAAAAAACAGGACATATTCCATAAGCTCAAAAAATCTTCAAAGCATGCAAAAGAATCCACAGTTATTATTCATTATTTCCCATAAAAAGCCAACAGTAATTATACATAAGAGAATTTAAAGAGCTACATATACCTTATACATCCTATAGTAACATTCATTAACCACTCTTAATACCTGGACTAATGATCATAGTTGGATGAATGAACTGAAAAGAAACTTGAAGCACTGCTTTTTACATAGTCATATTGGTTCTTCACTATATATAAACACTGCATGACATGCCCATAATATCAAAGTAGGAAATTAACATATCCGAAAAGGTTCAAAGTGATGAATCTCACATCCAGTATTCATGCCTCTATGTTGTGGAAAAATGGCAACATTACTTTCCTCCATCAGTCACTGCGCAAAGATTTATACATTTTGCTAAAAGGATGCATACCTGCTCCATTAAATTCAGTACCATGTATTAGAATACATATTATAAATTTAGAAGTAAATTCTCTATACAATCAAGTATGCCTTCATTCAATATTTTGAAACTAAACTAAGAGTTCAGTTTCTCATTCCAATCAAACCATCCACTGTTTGCTTTTTCAAGCCTGAAAATGCTTTGAATATTAATATGTGGGGTATGTGCTTAACAGATATACCTGTATCTACTAAGAAAACAGTATGTAAAATATATGATTGATTGATTGATTGATTGATTGATTGATTGATTTGAGTTCGGCACCACTTGACTCCAGATTGACTCTGGGCAGCTCCCAACATAAAAACAAAAAACTATATATTATCAGAATAAAAACACTGCCATGTAACAAGATGGTGAACGCAGTGCACAACAACAGAACACATATCACACATCCAACAAAGGGCTCCTAGGGAGTCTGGGAGAAAGGCCAGGTCTTTAAGGCCCTCTGGAAAGTCATCAGGGTGGGAACCACATGGATTTTGGGGAAACCTCATTCCAGAGGACAGGCACCACAACTTATCATTACATCATGACATTTGCAATGGAAAAACAAGTGTACAAAACATTTTATATTTATATTTCACATTAATTTGTTACACTCTTCTATTGCATCTCTCTTCGTCCTAGCATATTTAACAGCTCTCTGAATCAGGCCTTCTGCAAATCTTTCTCAACTCTTTTAAAGCGAGAAATCTTTCTTGCTTTAAATTCCTCTTAGTGATGCCCACATTCCTTACCATCACCAAAACAATATTTAAAGGTAATGGTACTGTCACAATTCCACTTTGACCAGTTTGGGCAACTTGTGGTCTTCCATATGTGGTTGAACTGCAGATCTCAGTATCCCTCATGTTGGCCATGCTGACTGAGCTACTGAGAGTTGAAGTTCAGCCACATCTGGAAGGCCACTGTTATCCCACCCTATGTAGATTAAAAAACTCTCTAAGAAATACCACTATATTACTTTTTCACAGAATTTAGTTTGATATATAATATCATAGCAAAACTATATAAATATATAATTGAATCATATAGAGTTGTATACAGTAGTTCTACATTAAATATTTTCTAATGTAGCTCTCTTTGAAAGTATCATATTCAATGTAGCCAAAACAATTATTTAAAAAAAAGAAAAACATACCAGATATTATTTCTTTTTGTTGATACAATTTTTTTCTCATTTCCTCACACTGCTATTTAATCCTACATATGTGGAGAATTATAGCCAATGGGAATTAATAGTGGTTTTCAGAAACAAGGGGAATGGCCATAAGGATAAAGAAGGAAAATTATACCGAGAATAACAGCACTGAAATGTGCATGTGTTCATGGAAAATATTAATGAAAATAATACAAATCAGTGTAAATATCTTCACCTCAAGCCAGATAGCAGTCCCAATTCATTTCGTGCTTATTTATTTGAGAAATTGTGTGGGTTTCCTAAGTAATCCTTACAGAATTTAATAGTTCAGCTACTCCTCTATTGTGGCAATTACGTTTCAAACTAGGTAAACACAACACTTACTGGGACCACAACACCTTTAGATGGCATCTTGTAACCCAAAATGAAATATACACATATACATAAACTCACAATCTTGTGAGATTGCCAAATATCATAAGATTTTTATTGTTCTTGTGTGAGTCTGCATGAGAATAGGTGCAATGCCATCTGAAAAAGTTGTTGACCCTTGATATGGATTTTAATGATGAACCTCAACCTGAAAGACAATGGCACAAAAATATCAATACAATTAATAAAATTAAAATGATAGAAAATGTTTTTAGTGCTTTGGAGTAAGGAAAAGATGAGTGATATAGCACCAAGTCCACGCCAAAGCATATTTTGAATGCTGACCTGTGCGAAAAAACTGTCCTTGACAGATTTAGGATGGCAAGATGCTGAAGGCAGCCATGAAGAAGTGCTCCACACACCTAAATCAGAAAGGAGTAAGATAGTTAAGTATGTACATAAAACAATCTAGGATATAAAAATGGGGATTCTCTGTAATAGATTAATAAATGTTACCGTGTCTAATGCACACTCTGTATTTGATAAATCCAGATGAATTATGGCGTTTGGCTGTGCCAAAAAATTACACAGGAACTGGATGTGTGAAAGAGAAAGAAATAAAAAGTTTAGCTTTCTAATTACATCTGTCTTAACTGTATGAACTCAAAAGTAGTAGATAAATAAATAATCTTTCAACATATGGACATTACAAAACAGCTTATCTTGGAAGGTCAACAACAGCCAACAACATCTTTTGATGTTAAATAATCCATCCACCTCTATTTTCAACTAATAATGATTTTTAATTTTAAAAAATTAGAATATTATCCACCTTTCTTTTTTCTTTTTCATTTTTTTTGCCTTTTATTTATTTACTGAAACAATAATGAAAGAAAAAAAGAAAAAGAAATAATTGCATTGTTGCATTGTATCATCCAACTTTCTGTTAGACAGTGTAACACACCCATATCATTTAAAGCCAAACATTTGCAAAAGCAAACAAGACTGTTACTTATTTGCATCTGCAACAAGTAATTTTTTTCAGACTAGCACTTATATTACTATGTCCTCCACCTAAGTGAAATCGAGCACTTTATCAAACTTGAAATGCCCATTCTTGGTAGAAATTCTGGAAGTTGCAATTTTAACGCATCTAGAACATAAAGCAGATAGAAAAAGTCTGACTTAGAAAATGTCAAAATTAGAACACCTACTGAAAGATCGTCACCTCGAAGAATATTTCCTGAGAGATCAAGGTGGGTGAGAGTGGTAGCTAACAGCTGGTTGGCACTCAGTGACTGTGCAAGGCTGTTCACCCCTGCAACAAAATGACCAAAATTTGCTCCTTTGTTCAATATTAGTGTACCTTCTACAAGTATACAATTCCCTGACAAACTTTTTTTTTTTTTTTGTTCTGCACCCCATCAAAAGAACATTAACATTAAAAAAAAATTAAATTATTAGCGTTATCCTGGAGGAGATTCCAAAATTATGTGAAGTAACACAATTCCCCATCTCCCTCAGAAGGCAAATGATATCATTGCTATATCTTGCGGCAACAAACAGCAGTTTGTGTTTGTTTCTACAAATGAAGTATAGATGCTTCATACAGGCCTATATGATAACAGCGCTTTGAGAAGAAACAATACATTCTGTACAACTGTCACCTTCAAATCTCAAATGTGATTTAAAACTACTTGTATATACATGCACAGATAGAGCCATACAATGTAAGTACAAATATTCACATCAGCTGATCTTAAAAATATTTGTAAATCAGAAATGGAGTTGGCAAACAAATAATTAGAGGACAATGTGAAGACTGTGAAGTATTTAGGGCTAATTACAATACAGAAGGAATAACTTCTATACAAGATACTAAACTGACCTAGCCTCTCCCATCAAGCTTCCAGGCTAAAGGTTACCAAACCAAACAAATTTGACAAGTAGGAAAAGATCTATAAGAAGAAAGCCTAGAAGGGTATTAGTAGACAGCTAATTATATGGATCATTAACTAGTTTCACATGTCACACTAAGGTACGATCTACTTAACAATGGTTTACTGAATAGATTGTAATTGGATGGTTCAAATGAAACAAATCATTATATGGCTTAATGGAATCAGGTCACTAAATATTCTACAGAAGAGCTCTGTTTAGATAGTTTGATAAGGATATAAAGATGCTACAAGTTACAAAAAACTCAGAGGAGAAAAAAAAAGATAAGCAGGAAATCTGCTCTGTAAAATTCAACGGTAATCTTAATTTGTACTAATGGTAGCTAACCTGTAACTGTGGTTCTTTGAAAGGTCATCAGTGAATGTATAGACATGGGTCCTCTTGCACTCATGTCCATTAAACTACTGGGAATGATCAGAGTAAAGGTTTTAAGGGGAGCACCAATAATACAGGGGATAAGTAAATATTATGAATTCACAGATACCAACTCAAAGAATCATAGTTATAGGCAAAGTAATCTATGTCATTCATACAGATAGGTCATTTGTCAGCTACCGGACTTGCAGTAGAGAGCTAGGAGTACACCAAAGATAACTCTGCTATCCTGAACATTGCCTACCACTTGGATATGAAATCCAATCAAAAATAAACAATTGAGACAATGGTGTAGCTCAGCAAATGTTAATCTTCTTAAGAATGCTGCCTAAGATGACACAGCTTTTTGGTGGAGGGAACTTAAATCTAAAAGGCACCTTTCCAGAATAATAAATGTATAGGACCATAGGTTCAAACTGTTTGGAAAATAGCAGTGGCACTCATTTATAGGAACAGGAGAAGCCCAAAGTATAAAGAATAGAATAAATGTAGGAATTCACAATTCAAGAATCAGAAAAGTCAAATAATTCTCTACAGTTACAGTTACAGTGGGTATGGATGATTTGCGGTCTGGGTGTCTAAATGACATACTTAGGTTTAATGCAGGCTGAAGAGATCTATATGGAGTGGAAGATGAATACCATCTCCTTGGGCCTGAATGAGGAAGACAAACCAAAGCTGGCATGAGTAGGTAAATAATAAATAATCTTTTTGGTTTTGTAAATAATCTTCACTAAGATTATGATGAGCAATGGGAAAGCAGAAAGATGTAGAGGATGTGGTCTTACCAGTAACATTGGAAATCATCTTGCAGTTCCAGCCCTGCTTGAAAACTATGGACACTGTGTGTTCCCTTGAGTAGAGAGCTCCCACTTATGGCTTGTTAAGTTTGAATGGCTCAAAGAAGTTCTAAGAGTGTTCTGCCTGCTGATATGAGATGGCTATGCTTGGCTATGAACTAATCCCATACCTATACCAAGGAAATAAATTTTGATCCTCTCTGGCTGTTCATGTCCTAAATAACTATATTGTCCAATATAATATAGCCTATTCAATTCCTAAATAAAAGCCTGAAAGATTTCATGCTTTGAATACCTGCAAGAGTCCCAAGAAATTGATATGAAATTGTTCCTGAATCGTTTCCTGGACTCTCAAAAATTAACAAGAAGCACCTCAATCTTGTCTGGTGCATCAGTATAATGACTGATGGCATTAGTAGGGAAAACAGCATTTCCTCAAAGATATCCCTCTGATTCCTCCACCAATAGAGGGAGGCCTCTTCCAGCAGTCTGGAAGATTTAAAATAGCCTGTAATTACCAGGCTAGAAGTGTTCACAATCAGGTGAATGTTTTATATCACTAGTGTAGATATCTGACCCCAAGATGAGCCAATACCATGCAGCCTGGGGAAAAGTTGAAGCTCCTTTCTGTTTTGGAGCAGAAATACAATTCCCTGTGGTGCATTCAGACATAAGTCAATATATTAAAGTTCCTGAATGGATAACAAATATGACTTTCCTACACTGACAAGAAAATGCACATTGGACAGTAAAGGATCTAGTTCAGATTGCCCAGAAGCTATGACACATAAATATATTCTGAACCTCAGACATTTTACCATAACCACATGCACTTAGCAAAGCAAATACAGAAGCATCTTACTCGCTTGCTTGCTCTGATGTGTGAATACTGACAGTACAAGCATGAAAGGAAATATGAAAGCATTCTTCAAATTCAATAATACAAACCAAAGATGGATGCAGAGTACACTATATGGAACCTTCTTATTAGGCACAAATATTTCCTTGGTCATACTAAATGCTACCATCCTTTTAGTGACAAAGTACCTAGAATATAACACACAATGCAGCTTGCATGAAACTATTTTTATAGCTCTTTTGCAGAACAGAGCACAGATCTTTTCCAGAAAAGCGGACAAGAGTGGGCCTGGCTGGAGAAGTCTTACTGGTGGATAATGCTATAATGAACTGGAAATGATAACCATAAATTACAATGAAAGAACCCAGGTATTTGTGGAAGTCAACTGCTGAAGTGACAGAAATGGAAAAAAGATAATTCCAAGAGTGGAGATGCTGTTAATTTGAAGCCAAATAAAGACACTTGGAGTGCTTCACAGATAGATCTTGCTGCACTGTCAGTCTTAGAAGTGAGGAACTGTTTGCCAATAAATATTGTTTTTCATATGGATTTGGACCTACTGAGTTAGATCAGTGGGAAAAAAGCTATGTATTGCAAGAGAGTAACAGATGGAGCCATTTGAGAGCTACGTTACCTGTGTATGTAGCAGTGTTTATTCACTGTTTGGCCACCTGTGTGGCTTCAACTTAGAAGATACGTCTTCTTATTCTCAGGTGACTGGGAAAATGAATTAGCTGATTTTTCCCATAGGAAAAATTGAGACACAGTGAGACAATGTTAGTTATTAGCAACACTGAAGTCCAGGCCACTGTAGAAGTAGAATTTTCAGTTGTTGCCTCCTGCCTTTCTTATTTATATTTTGGAAATGCTGCAGCTACAACAAAGTGCAGTAGAATTTGGAAGAAAGTGATGAAAGAGAAACAGCCTTCTTTAGAGTTTTTGATGCATTTGAAAATGGGAGGTACAAACGATGGTTTCATCCACAAGCCCAGCAATGTCATACACAAATTCAAAGAAGGGATCCTGAACTGGTTGATCAGACTATGTAACTTCCAAAAAGACTGTATTATGTACTTCACATAACTACAGATAACTTTTGAAGTTGAAAAGTGGACCTAATTGCCTACTTCTATTTTTGGTGAGGACAATGAATGGGGGTCAGATACAGAGCAACAGTACAATCACAGTCATCTTCCAAGTTAGAATGCTTCACATAAAGATCCCTGTCCTGTATACAAGCCATTCCCAAGACTCTACCTGGTTAGTTAGAGACTAGTTAAGTTGGTTCAAGAACTCAAAATGTGGATGGTCGAAGGGATGGGGAAGGCAGTTGGAGTGATAGCCTTCTCAGGTCTGGGAGTACCTGGGAGTGCCTGGGAGCTTGACACAACTACTGAACTTGGCGAACAGAAATGTGCCATTTATGATGGAGAATGATGAAGAAAGGCGGCTGTCTCTTGGACCTTATGGATCAAGAAAATAACCACAATGAGGCAAAAAAGCTGAACAGGATGCTTAATGTGTGTTCATGATGTGCAGAAAGAAACTGATCACTTTGAGACGATCAGGCGATGGGTAATTGTGCTGTTCAGGATGTAACAAAAATAACTTGAACTGGAGAGGACAAAAAGGATCCTGGAGAAAAATGTCTCGGATATAGAAGAGTTACTCATATTTTCTCTCTTTAACACAGAGTTGAATATCATCTGTATGGAAGAGTCCAGAAGAAGCAGAGGGTCTAGTGTTACTGGGCCAATCATCAGTGTCAAATCTTGTGAAGAAAGGGTCAGAAGCAGACTGAGAAACTTCTCAAGCTAATATGAATTGTTCTTCCTCTTGTTGCCCTCAGACATGAGAAATCATGCATGCTTGATTCATTGCCTAAGATCAAGCTTAGTAACAAATGGCTTGCCAGGGATTGGAGGAGCTGGTGGTGTTGCTAGGATCAGAAATTTAGTGTGCATAGTCTTGGTGCATACAGTGAGTTCACCATAGCCAGCTTTTGGAAATGGCAGAATCTGAGCTAGGGAGTCTTTAGGTGCTGAAGTCACCATGAATCCAGTCAAGCTGAGTGCTATTCCTACAATGGGAAGAGCAATTTTTTATGGGCTTGTTTAGTAAAAATCTGACATTGGTAGCAAGATTATACAACATGCCCATTCTCCAGCAAATCAGGTAGAAGGAGGAGGAATCCAATGGTGGAAATTTATTGTAGCTGTATCCAATTTTTAAAACAGTGATGAGATGCAAGATATTGTTCAGGCTTATTATTTATCTTACCCTTGGAAAACTATGAAATGAATAAATATTCACATAATACAGCCTAAAAAGGAAGATCATTTATTGTAATTAAGCACATTTATGAAATATACCTTTAGGCGATAATGAGGTTTTAGATAAATTTAAATGCATCAGCCCCTTTGGTAGTTTGGCAAACTGAATACTTAATGAAGATACACCTGTAAAAGAATAAAGATGAAGCCCACATCAAAAGTGAAGACATATTTACAGAGTAATTACTTTTAATTTTCTATGTTGATTGATATGATTCTGTTGTTACCATTTAGGGTTTGGACCTTGAATGGTGAGTTCTACCGTTTAGTCTGGTTTTCTGGAAACTCAGGTTTATAAAAATAGAACAGTAGCCTAATGGCACAACAATGGAACTGTTTGGCAAACTAAAAATAGCAATAATGGTGATAATTTGTTCTCAACATTTAACTTATTTGTATATTTCTGTGTATACAGACACATGCATATCTCTGCACCATAGATTTTAATAAATATTTTCTCCTCTCTGGAAAGGGTGTCAAATACAGGTACCTCTGCATACTAATGATAAAATCTTTAAATTATGTTGGGTAATAAAAAACAAATATATGAAATTGAAGTTACCCTGCCAATATTATTTTAGGTCGTAAAGTCTGGGATATGACTCTAAGCAGATTTTACAGAAAATATTTTAAATTAAATCAATGGAACATAGTTTGCACATAAATAAGTTTGACTGTTACAGCAAGTTTTCAATTTATTCAAGATGATTGTTGTTCTGAAGTTAACAGAATCATTGCTAGTAAAAATAAAATACATGCTTGCATGTTTCTATTTCTATCTATTTATCATAGCATCCATAGCTAGCCATCATGACCCGAAAATAACAAAATGTCCATTATGATCCAAGCTCTATCCTTTCATATTTGCATCATGTTGCTGCATGCTGGCATGTAAGGGTTGAAGATTGTATCACAACATACATTTTATCATTCCCTCTACTCCCATGGATGCCTATAGCCGATCTAGTTATTAAGCATCATTTGTTTACAGACTAACATAAGAGACAATGGATATATGAAAGAAGAGAAGTTCTTCACTAACAACAGATGTTTACAAAGCAGTAATATCGTTCATAATGATGTTTGATTCCAAGAAAAACTGAAAGAAATATACTAATCCTCTTATTGGGTTTGCATTATGAGTGGGAAATGTTACAGTACCTCTGTCCTCTAGAGGGTTGTTAGCAAGATTAATTGTATGAAGTCCTGAGGTGGGATTGTGGGATAGAGCATTGGCCAGTTTCTGTGCAAAATCTCTACGAGAGAAAGAAAACCATAAAAAAATTATACTGTATTTTGCACTATACCATATTCATGAGCTTAATACGAACTGATTATATGTGACACTGAATTGGGGAGCCTATGTAGAATATTACATTCAAGAACATGGGTTTGCACATATGTTGTGTTAGTTGCAACAACTGATTTCTATGTGGGATGCTGTACTAGGCATGCAGAGAAACAAGGGTACACGGGGCAGGAATGATGCCATGTCTACTTTTAATACCCCCCTAACTCTTTGCTACTGTTTTTGATGAGGTCATAAACATTAGAATTATGCAGCACTTTGGAAATAATTTACACAAGGAGTTCCATGTGATTCCAGTCCAAGATGCAGCTGCTTTGAAAATTTGCAGCCAGATGCTATATTCACTCACCACCATTACTCTGAAACCTGTTTTTAGAGCCAAATCATTGCATACCCCTAATATACATTAGTGAGTGATTCAAAACAGACATGGCATTTTTATTTTATATATGTGCTGCCTAATGGCAAATAAAAATATATTCATACATATTGGCAAAGTTGCTCAACATCAGATGGGTTCTCACAAAAAGAAGCCCTCTTGGCCTAGATTGTATTTGTCCATTAAAATTGTTTAAGGTTGCTAATCTCATTTATAGACATATCATGCACTTATACAAATATTGTATCTTTTTAAGCTATGTTGCAAAGAAGTTTTATAATTAAGATATAATCTTGAGTTTGTATATTTTGTAAAAATACTTAGAAGTAGGCCTTATTGAGTATAGTCACACAGCACAGCTACTATCAACAATTGTTTAAGCTATGAATGTATATAATGATTCCTCCCCACCACCCCCAAGTGGCACAGGTGCAAGTCACCTCATGAGAGATTTATTTTCTGATGGCCATATCCTATATTACTTCTAGTATGAATAAACTAGAGGGGGAACCCACAAACTTGTAAGAAACTGTGGATCCCTCTCTTGCTTCTTCTGACAAGAAGTAGTACTAATACCACATTTGCATACTATGACTCCTGGAAAATAAACCTCAAACAGACGGACATAGTGAAACTATGGTTGGAAATAACTTCAGTAGGTAAATATGCCAACTCAGTTCAATGCTGTTAACCCCCAATAAGTATATTACAACACTGCAGCTTCAGACTTACAACTTCCTCTGATGTTATTGGGCTTCACTAAAAATGTTATTGTTGGTTAATTAAAAAGAATGACTTACGTCCTAAGACCAGCATTCTCTAGAATGAGCTCTTCCAATCTACTGGATCTGCTCACAACTCTTAGGATCTGCTCACAAACATCAGTGGACTGTCATAAGAACAATGGTATAACATTAAGAACCAATGGAAACATATTAGCAATACAAAAAGGTGAGAGATTGACTGCCTTCACTCTGAAGAGGTGCCTCTTTTTGTAACTGAATACTCATATAAAAAGTCTTAACACTGGTGCAAGAAACCCATAGTATGAATTATTGACAATTACAAACAATGAACACATTCATATTCATGCAGTGATCTACTCACTAGAACTCAGTTTGATGCCCCTACCACACCACATAAGAACCAGCTTTTGTCACCAATGATGTAGCCCATATGAGGTAAGAATATCACATGTAATATTCTATCTAGAACAGCTTAGTATCAAGAAATGTTGGCAAGTTCATGAAGAGATTGGTAAATTCACTGAGTTACTGTTCTTCCTGGCATATTCATATTAGAACAGTGGTCACAACCAATCATAAAGAAAGACAGTTCTTATGTCCACCACGAAACAAATATAAGCACAGAATAAGATCTATTTTTATTGTATTTAGTCTTCTATTCCTTTAGCTTGATTTTGGAGTAAGTAGTCCATAATGAATCTAAAATTAGTAAATTCTAATATTCTGCAAATGAGAGTCTCCAACTTTATCCTACTATCTATATAAAACTGTGCCATTCAAAATTAAAAATGAATAAGATACAGGCAGAAAGCTGCAGAACAAAATGTTCTCTGAAGTACTCCCATAGCTTCTAAGAATGCCAAATAATTAAGACAACGCAGAAATTGGAAATACTTTTTCCCAGTGCTACAAAGTCATATGCGTGGGTAGTGGCTTGAAGAACCCTTCTGTAAGCTTATTTAAGGGTCAGAATCAAAATACAAATTACTCTGCTGATTCTGTTCACTCCATTTTAAATATACACATACATGTAAAATATAATTGTTAGTTTCACCTAAACAAACTCAGTTCGCTATAAAATTTCAGTGACATCTTAAACAACAATATGCTTTAATATAACCTGCTTTTTTGAATATATTTCTTTTGATTTTCATAGACTAAAAGGCCAGTTTCTTTCAAAAGGGTTGTGTGATTTCATACTGCTTAAACAAGGAATATTCCACGTCATCCTCTGAAATATTTGATATAAACATTTGTCAATAATGTTTGTGCAATTTAGTTCATTTAACTGCAGCAGAAATATTTCTCAAATATTTCTGCTTACATTTTTTTTAATTAGGACTAGAGTGTTTGAAAAACCCTGGATTGATTTTTTTGGCATCTTTAAAGATGTCTCAAAATCCAGTAAGTAAAAGAAAGTGATATTTCTCTCTCACTCTCAATTCTCTCTCCCCTCCTATTCAATGTCTACATGAAACTGCTGAGCAAAGTCATTTGTAGTTTGAGTTTGGTATCATCAGTATATCTATAATATTGGATAAAGTAAAACCAGACCGCTCACTAGACATACTAATAATGAAACTTAAGCTAAAATGTTCAGTACAAATAATGAAAAGGCAACTGCCATTGATCCTGATCCTTGGAACAAAGGGGCCAATAAAAAGACATAGTGGATAGATACTATTACTGATGACATAAGGATAGGTTTAGAAGAACCAGAAGAAGCAGTTACTGACAGATAAACCTGGTGCAATGATGTCTACCAGGTCATGAAAAGTCAGAAGCAACTGAACAACTACCCTTCTAAAATAATTATATATTCTACATGACAAGATTCCCCAAACACCTTGAATCAAGGTACAGTCATCCTGCATCCTAATACTTACTAACTTTAGATCCTTGGAGGAAAGCTTTGTAAACCACTGATTGTATTCCAGGGCAGCAACTATTGGTATTAAATCTCTAAGGAGAGAAAAAAAAATCATATACTGAAATAAAAATTTCTAGGCAGAACTGATTTGGGAGAAAGAGTATTAATTTTTAAATGAAGGAATAACTCTGACAGATTGAAAAGGTAGGAACTTCATATTATAATTTTTCTCTCACATTAACTCATGAACCTTGAGTTTTTGCATCCCATACACAATAAAAAAGAAATGTCTGCTTAGGAAGTGTTTTCAGCAACCAAGTTACAATGTATTTTTTTATTTCACTTAATTTCATATATTTTAATCTGATATGCTGTTCCTCTTATAAATTCTTCATTAAATTACAGGTAGTCCTTGACTTACAATTATATGCTCAGCAACTGTTCAAAGTTACAGCGGTGCTGAATGAAGGGACTTACGACCAGTCCTCAAAGTTACGGTGCCCCTGCAGTCATGTGATCAAAATTCAGGCATTTAGCAGCCACTGCAATTCCCCCCACCCGCTTATCTCCCCCTAATCTATGCCCTTTTGGCCCCTTGCTGCCCAGTGCTCTGCCACACCAGCTGACCTTTGCTGTCTTATTGCTCCTGCTGCTGATGAAGCATGCCTGCCTGGCTGCTGGACCAGACTGGGCTGGGCTGGGCTGGGGATTTGGCTGCAGAAAAAAAGCGCCAAAAGCAGCCACAGAGCCGCTGTGCTGCTTTTTTTTTTTGGCAGCACGAAGGGGCTTTTTAGCAGACAACGAAGACAGCAAAAGTCAGCTGGAGTGGCGGAGTGCAGGGCAGCAGGGAGCCAAAAGAGCATAGATGGTGGGGAGATAAGCAGGTGGGGGGAGTTGGAGGCAGTCCCTTACCTTAGTGAGGCTTGGGGCTGGGAAGGACCAAGCCTGGAATGGGTCCTCACTTAACAACCTGCGATTCTTCATTAATGATGGCAACTGGGACTGCCAGGATTGCCATTGCTAAGCGATGCAGCCTCATGACATCTTGCTTTATGACCACATCGCTTAGCAATGGAAATTCCAGTCCCAATTGTGGTTGTTAAGCAAGGACTACCTGTAGAGGCACATATGTTAAACGTTTGCATGCTGACCACAACAGAGCCTCATTAAGTGTTACTAAAGCACTTACTTTACTAGATAGTTCAAATAAAGTTCATACACATGTATTTAATATCATTGAATAACATAACAAAGATTAAAATAAAACATTAACTCTAAAACTCAAGCTGTTCTGATACAAACTCATATTTTTCAAAATATTTTTCTATTTTTAAGAAGACATTTCATCCTCAAGTTTCTGCTAGGAAAAAAAAGACATATTTTAAATTAGCTCAAACAAAAATACCTATAAAGATAGCAAAGCAATACATTAGTATATCTTAAAAGCTCCTTTCTTTCTTTGCACATGCAGCTTTTCTTCACTGAAGGCCTAAGCAATTCATAGGTTTCCTCTGACATTCAAAATTGGAAAACTAACCTCTGCACTCAAAGATGACAGAAAATGAGCATCAAAATCCTTGCTGACTTAGCTTCTGATCTAAACAAGACCTTCCAACAGGGATCCGATCAACTATTTCATGTGCCCCTCAGTGCTTCCCTAGGCATGGGAAAAAACCCTATACAATTTTTTGTTTCCTCTTCAATAGCAAGCTGTCAGGTTGCCTTTGTTAACAGCGGTAACTGTAAGAGCTGAAGTTATTCAGGCAGGAATCAACAAGCTTTGAGAACCATTATCAGAGCATAGAATAGATGTCGCGGACGTTCAGGACTGGAAAAAGAATGGCCAAGAGAGTCTCTGGATGTCTGCTTATGTTTATGTATGTGTATATGTTTGTATGCTGTGTGTGTGTGTGGGTATATATATATGTATATATGCATGCATGTGTATATTATTCATGTATATTATTTGTGTGTGTGTGTGTGTGTGAAGGTAGGTAGGTGAATGGCTGGTACCCTTTAAATGTATTGAATTATCATCAGAATCTTTCATCCACCGGGTACTTATATTATATGGACATTGGGTACTTATACTTTGACCAGAAGTTATGTAATATTAAATATATATATCTACACACCACTCACACAGGCTAGACAGCCATCTGTCGGAAATAACTTCATTTCCTGCACTGCGCACCCAGCTGGATTCCATGGCCCCTTCCAGCTCTCTGATTCTGTGATAAATTTGCTGACAGTATCCCCCCTGTAGCTGATGCAGCCACACAGGCAATTTGGCTGAATGCCCTCAGAACAATGTCCTACCTTCTGAAGATAAACAATATTTTAAAATTGTAGTGTAAAAACTTTGCACACCAGTTGAGTGTTTGCTAACTTTCTTCCACGATGAAAAAGGAACAGTAGTTTTGATATACAATGGCAAGTGGTTTTTGGAATTACAGGTAGTCCTTGTTTAGCAACCACAACTGGGACCAGCAACTTGGTCATTAAGCGAAGCAGTCACTAAGTGAAAATCACAATTTTACAATTTTACTTCAGCTTTCCTTTGCTTCACAGACCTGCAAGGGCCATAAATGTAAGGACTGGTTGCTTCATCATCATTGTTAACTGTGAACGGTTGCTGTACAAGCAGTCGTTAAATGAGGACTACCTGTAATATGTTAACATTTCACTGGCTCCTAGCTTTTGAACAAGAAGCTATTTTTCTGGCCAGTACCTTATATGAAAAACTCAGTGAGTTCTAACTCACTTCCAATGCAATTTTAAGTATTTAATTTTGATGAGCCCCTTTCTATTAACACTATTATTTCCAACTAATAGAACACATACACTTAGAAAGTGTTTTATGTATGAACCAGTAGTTCACAATTCATAAATACAGTCTGGATCTAAACTGGAGGTTTTTAAGCTCATTTAAGTAAGCCATTTGAAGCAAGGAGCAACTCCAACCCCCCTTATAAAACTGCATACCATAATATGAAGGGCTGCAATTAGAAGGAACACTGCTTCACCCAATGTATGAATGAAAGTACTTTCTATTCATATATATCTCATAATTGCAAACTAGTGAAAACAAAGAGCAAGATGAGCCCTTCCCAGCTGTTACAACCCTGAACAAAAGGTTCTTCTGTTAGTATCCCAGTGAGATCAAAACATGATTACTGTACAGATGTATCCTTCACATTAGAGTACACTTCCATTTATGCAGGATCTTAGTATTTACCTGTGGTCAAGATGGCTAAAGTCTTGCAAATTTAATTCCCTGGTATCTTGAGTCAGATAAATGGTATCAACATCCTAGTTAGACACAGAAGAACGAAATATATTTTAGAGAAAGGCTATTTCATTCCTTAGTACAAATTGCTTACGTAGGCATTAGTTAAGGGTTTTTTTTGTTTCTTTTTGCCTCAGTAGCTGAAAGTAAGCTTCCCCAATCTTATTTCTGTACTTACCCACTGCACTTCTTCCCTATATGGAGAACCCAGCCA